CGTAGGCAAGTAAGGACATGCTGTGTTAGAGAAACAAATCCAGTGACATTCAAGTCCAAGGCTAGTCCTTAAGGTCCTCTTCAGATTCCTGCAGCAGGAGGTCTGTAAGCAGAAAGACCATCAGATCGCAGGCTGGTGGGCAGAGTCCCGTGGATCCAAGGTCAGTGGAAATGTGGCAAGGTGCCGACAGCTCTCATGGTCAGGTGGCCCCCATGGGGCCACACCTAGAGGCAGACAGGTAGGCAGAAGGGCAGGGAGTAGGGGATTCCAATTTCTCTCTCTTTCTCTCTCTCTCTCTCTCTTTCTCTCTCTCTCTCCTAACAAGGCCATGCTCCTGAGGAGGGATCTTCAGGCTCTGACCTGAGTGACAGGTTGAATTCCACCCCTACCCTTTCACACATCTTTGACATAAGATCGTCTACTAGTACACATGCATTGTTTGAGGTTAAATAGTATTCGCTGTCTTAGTCATCTAGTGCTTCCATGACAGAAACACCACTAGGAGATCGCTGTGACAGACAGAGTTGAAGAAGCTGCAAGTCCAAATTCAGGGTACTAGCTCTAGGGGAAAGTTTCTTACTGTGTCGGCTCTCGAATAAAGTCCTTGTCTTCTTTCAACACCTGGGAGCCTGGTGTCCCTGGGGGCTCTCCCTGGGCCTAGAGGATCTCAGCATATGCACCCTGGGTCCAACGGAAACACTCCTCGTTGGCTCCTTTCTTGGTGGTTAGTCAGGTTCTTCCATCTCTGCTGTCTTCTCTCTCCTTTTACACGTTGTGAAGTAAAAAAGGAACCTTAGTAGCATTGTGGTTATGAGTTGGGCTGTGATTCGGAAGGTCAGTAGTTCAAAACCACCAGCAGCTCTGAGGGAGAAAGACAAGGCTTTCTACTCCCGTAAATAGTCTTGGAAACTCACAGGGGTAGTTCTACCCTGGCTTAGAGGGTCGCGATGAGTTGGCATTGAGTTTAGAGCTTTTTGTTTTTGTGAGATAAAAAGTGATGCAGAGCACACTTTAGGGAAATTCCTGTGATCTGAGCAAAAGGATTGCTTTACATCTCAGTCTCCTTCTAACTGATTGAAGGGTCATATTTAGCAGTTGATTGAGTCATTACACAGCTGCTAAATTACATCATCTATGTAACTACCCAACTGTCCAACCACTGAGAGTCATGGTCACATATCTGTGGGGGACACAGTTCCATCTACTCTTATCCAGTCTCACTTGGTACCCAGAGGAAACACTAATATTGTCAACGATTTCATTTGGGGGGTGTCACTTAACATGCCCACGTTCTGGAAAATGCTATGTGACGTGGATGGGGTGTGAACAGCGGATTCTATACAGGAAAGATATGTAGACAACCATGCGGTGAGGGGAGAAGGGGCAGGGGGATGGTGCAGGATCTGTGCCATGGCAGCCACACCAAAGGACTGTGTGAATACATCCCACGCCCACCCCTGTCCCTGAGAGCTACACCCCTTGCCTCGCAGCCTCCCATCACCAGCTCTCTTCCCTGCTTTCTTCCCAGGCCGCCTTCTCTGCCCCTCTCCCGATGGGCTTTCATCTCTTGCAGCGCCCCTGCCCCTCCTCTGCCTCACCACCACTTCCTCCTCCCACTGCCTTTCCTGGCCATGGGGCCAGGGCATCCTGCAGTCCTTCAGACTCTTCGTGCATGCGTTGCCAACTTTAATGGGTTCGTTTTTGCTCCAATTGAGCATCACATGCGCTGTGATGGTGACGCCGGCCTGTCTGATGGGATGAACAGGATAGGTCGTGTGACTTGTGCACAGCAGGCTAAGCCTGCTGCAGAGGGAAAGAATAGTAACCAAATAGCACTTGGGGCAAAAGAAAAATGACGTGGTTGCAGGGACATTTGAGAACTTTGCCTCGTGGATATATGATAGAGCATAGGCCAAAGGAGGTGTTCTATTAGATAAAGATTTGTAGCCTCGGCAACCCACAGAAACAGTTCTATTCTGGCCTGTAGGGTCGCCATGAGTCAGAATCTACTCAATGGCAGGTAGTGAGGTGTTATATGCAAACTACAACATAGTAATGAGTAATAGCTGAATTCTGGTGAGCCCTTCAAGGGAACCTCCTCAAAGTCTGGTGTTTAAAAGGGCAGTGATACACACTGAGACATCAATGTAGAACCTAATGCCTTAAGCTTCCTTCTAGAAACCCCACAATGTGTGCATAACCACCTGAAGTATAAGCCAGAAAATGAGAATGGCCACACATTCCAGATGGTCCCAAAGGGATTCTGAGGAAAGAAGGGTGGGGCAGGGAGAGAGGTGACCTCTAGCTAGACTGGTGGGCTGAATTGTAGGCAGTATAAGGTGTTGGAGAGAGGTGACCTTGGAGTTGCACCTTGAATGACTTTGACCTCCAGAGATGTGAAAAGGGCATTTCTGGCGCCGAGCACAGGAAAAGGGAGGGACAAATGTATATAGCCTGGAGCCTTCCCAGCTGTATTCAGTCTTCTTTGGTTGAAGGGTGCAAAGGGTGTGGAAAGGAAAGGAATGGGAAATCAATGTGGAAAGTCATGGTCAATCAATCTACAATGAAAACTGCTAGGGGAAATGTAGGAGATCTGGGGTAGATTCACCATCTTGAAGGCAGATACGTGTCCATCACATTAAATGTTGGAAGCCCCATGCTGACCACGGACTCATGACAAGCTCCAAATCAAGGCCACTAGTCCCATGTCACTGGAACTGGGAGGGAGTGTGGTCATCATCCCTGACTATAGGGAATATTCAGGAGGAGGTATTAACAAGGAGGCGAAGACTGTATTACTAGCTTCAAGTTAGAATAATGAAGTGGAAAAATATTTCACCTTATGAAATAATTTCATCTTATGAAATAATTTCATGCTGTATGAGTTTTCTGCCAGTCTGAGCATTTGGCTGGAACATCAGTCTACTGACAAATATATTCTAGCTCCGACAATCTGACCGTTTTTAAAAAAAGCACGAGTGAGAAAGAAATTCATCAGCTGCCTTCACTGGAATTCTAGTTTCAGGTCTCCCTGGCCTCATGAAATATTTCTCACAAAATATTCCCCCAATCTTTATGGTTGTTGGGTTTTTTTGTCGCTAGCAATAGAGTGAATGTTACAGTCTCTCCTATTCATTTGCCAGGCGAAACAACTGGTACATTGTAATAAGCAAAAATTTAAATATAGAAGGTCAAGTCACTGATAAATACTACTGTAGACCCGTTTTGCAGTTTTAGAATTCAGCATAGCCTTATTTCCCCCAGCATGGGCATAAGCTTATTGAGGGGCATGAGACGGCTTAGGCCATGTGTAAAACTCAAATGTAATGAAGGAAGGGGATCTATTCTTTGTTTGCAGACTTTTACACACAAACAGCTGGATTGTCACATT